CCAAAAATTTTTCCAGTTCCCCCCCACATTTCAAAAATTCCTTAATTTCTGAAGGCAATTTTCTTCCATCTCTCTTCCCCCTCCCTGCAGAAAATTTTTCTGAGCTGCAGTCTGTTGCTGTTCCGCTGAAGCCTTGCGTCCCAGTGGTTAGCTTTCTTGTGGTCCCCCACCAACCTTTCCACATCTTCCAAATCACCCCAAACCCCCATGGAATCCCCAATGCCACAATAGATTCCAAACTGCAATAGGTTCGTCAGGGTCAGCCCCAAACCCCTTAAAAATTTCCCTCTTGTGACACAATCGGGCCATAATTTTCTCCAAGCAGAGTTCAAAGTCCGGGTGCCTCCCTCCCAAGCCTTCCCTAAAGGGCTTAGCAAGGGGTATGAATGATCTTTCCAAAAACTCCTTTTAGGGTAAAGTGATGTCCGGGGTACATTAAAGCTCCTCTAAAACATTGCTTTCTTTTGTAGTTTTTTTTTTAAATTTTTGAAATGATTTTTCCCAGGGCTGGAGGAGGGAGTGGTATTAGGGGCAAGAACTTTACTGTGTAAACCCATACCCCTCCAGAATTAGGTCATCAAGTTTGGGGGATGAAGGTGCACTGTCCTTTAGCAAGAGGTTTGAGATCCAATTTTTTTCCAAGAGGTAATTCTTCCCGGGGCCAAACCTTATTGAACCATCAAAGAAAATTCCCTCGGACCCATCCCTTTATTATTAAATTTTCCATACAAAAATTTTATCTTATAACATTGTTTTTCTTGAACGTTTGGATTTTCAGTGGTAAAAGTAACGGTTCACTTTAAATCCCCACTACATTACTAAAAAACATGGCGCAGCCTGTTTTTCATAGGCTTGTTTTGGGCAGTCCCTTTTCCCCCTGAGTAATGTAGGTCCTTTTTGCATTTTTTTCCCAAAAAGGGGCCTTTTTCGTCACAATTGAACATTTTTCGGGTTTTTAATTTTTCGTTGTATTACTCCTTGAATTCCTTATGAATTTTGTAGCTGAAATTTTTGTCTGAACTGGCCCCTCCCCATGCCTTACCACGCTGTTACCATTATGGGTTTTTAAATTCTCAAAACCCGCCCTTTTTTGGCCTTTAATTACAAATTCAGACTCGTTGAGGCAATTTCTTTACCCAAAATCTCAGCAAATGCCTAGCCTTTTCACAAAAAAAGCAACGCATAAGACTTCTCCCGCTAAAAGTTTTGTTTTTCCACACCAATAATAATTCTAACATCTTCGGTACTGGGGAATTTATTTTTTTTTCACAAATTTACCCCCTTTTCAACAAAGTTCTTTGTTCCTTTTTCTTTGGGCCCCGATGGAAGCTATGGTTTTATGGGGTTTCTTATTCCTGGCCAGTTCGGCCACACGTACGCACTTTATATTTTTCAAAGGTTTTTTTTAATTCATTGTATTCTTTACCAAAAGGGTGGCATAGGGCTTCTTTGAGCCATGGGAGCTTATTGAGCAGTTGCAAGCACTAAAAAGAATGGAATATTATGAAAATTTCTTATGAACAAGGGGGGGGCCGCCTCACTGGTAAAAAATGCCCCACTGGTGGGAAGGGAGTGTGAGGTGGGTGGAGCAGTGTGTTGCATTGGGGCAAAAGATATTTGAGTCAAACGACGATTTGTGGTTTAATGTTTTTATGAAAAAAAACGTTATGATTTTCGAAAAATTAAGACTTTCGTCCTTAAGATTTTTAACCCTTTGAGGGTCGAAGGCCCTTCCCAAAACTCGTTCTCAGGGTCGGCCAAATTTAAAAAAAAAAAAAAAATTTTTTCTTTTGAAAAGTAGAGAATCTTTTCCCGTCATAAAGACACCAAAAATTTAATTTGATAGAAAAATTACGGAATTAGCCTTTTGCAAAGTTTCGGTCCGGCGAGTTTTTCGCATCGGGGATTTTGCCCACTTTTTAGCCCCATTTTGGCCAATTTCCTGTTAGTCGCAAAAACAGAATATATCGAGGCTCCATTTTTTCTATCGAATGGGTGCAAGAAACCATCTTTTGAATTCAACTATCCGTTACGTGGTCAAATTTTGCAAATTTTTCCCCAAATTTTACAAAATTTCAAAAGTGCCAAATTTTTGAATAGGGTCCAAATAAACAAGAAAAAAATTCCTGGGACTAAAATGAAATTTCCCCTAGTCATTGCATGTCTCAAGGCCCCTTATTTCTTTTGCTTTCCACTTTGAATTTTTTTTTTCACAAAAATATAAGATTTACTGTTATGCAGATACTGCTTAGTGTAAAAAATGGGATAAAAAATATTGGTGATTTTTGAAAGATATTGATCACCCGGAGTGTATTGCCGCTTGGCCGATTTGTTTTTTTTTGAAGTTTGTAAAAATCAAACATTTTGTACTTTGAGCTCAATTTTTAAGGGGAGCTTTCTTTTTAAAAAACCCTCAAAATCATCTCAAATTTTGTATAGTCTTCCATTCTATAAAATGGACCAAGAAAACTAGAAAACAACAATAAATACCATACGAAAATACACTGCAAAGTCGCTGATTTATTAAAAAAAAATGGTCAAAGTTTTTTTTTTCTCATTATGCGCTGTGTGCTGCAGGATTTTTTTTAGACTGTGCACACTGACCACATAGACCCATTCTTTCATATGAAGGCCTACCAGCTTTCTCCCACTAGATTTGAGGCCGCTAGAATTTATGAGTACTAGTACGTCAAAAACCCCTACGCGTAAGACGTACTAGTACGACGAAAACCCTCAAAGGGTTAAGGGTCCACTGTATTTCCATTGGGGTTCTTGTGTTGTGTGACCCTTACAGGTCACGGTGTTGCTACCACAGCCTAACTGAACAATATACTTTCAAGTTGGGTTGCTGATGCTTAACAACATGAAGTGAATGGAGAGGGTGGCTGTGGCCCTACTGGGCCAAAGTTGATGGCTGGGATTGATGTGATACTGAAGGTTGGGGATCTTGATGCTGCTTCATCAGTCAATTGTAACAGTGGGGTAGTCATTCTGTCATAGGGTGCTGGTTTGTTTTACCCTGCAGGTTTTTTAAACACTGCATTCTAAACTAATTAAACAATCCAGCACTAAATGTGCACTTGTTTCAAAGTATGCTAAGGTTTTTGTTCTTAATAAACCCATCAAGTGGAACACCTTTCTTGTTTGCTTTTCAATCAACACTTTTTTTTTTTTTTTTTTTCAACAAGTCTGTCGTCTCCCACCGAGGCAGGGTGACTCAAAAAAAAAGAAAGAAAATCCCCAAAAAGAAAATACTTTCATCATCATTCAACACTTTCACCACGCTCACACATTATCACTGCTTTTGCAGAGGTGCTCAGAATATAACAGTTTAGAAGCATATACGTATAGAGATACACAACATATCCCTCCAAACTGCCAATATCCCAAACCCCTCCTTTAAAGTGCAGGCATTGTACTTCCCATTTCCAGGACTCAAGTCCGACTATATGAAAATAACCGGTTTCCCTGAATCCCTTTACTAAATATTACCCTGCTCACACTCCAACAGATCGTCAGGTCCCAAGTATCATTCGTCTCCATTCACTCCTATCTAACACGCTCATGCACGCTTGCTGGAAATCCAAGCCCCTAGCCCACAAAACCTCCTTTACCCCCTCTTTCCAACCCTTTCGAGGACGACCCCTAACCCTCTTTCCTTCCCCTATAGATTTATATGCTTTCCATGTCATTCTACTTTGATCCATTCTCTCTAAATGACCAAACCACCTCAACAACCCTCTTCTGCCCTCTGACTAATGCTTTTATTAACTCCACACCTTCTCCTAATTTCCACACTCCGAATTTTCTGCATAATATTTACACCACACATTGCCCTTAGACAGGACATCTCCACTGCCTCCAACCCTGTCTCCTCGCTGCTGCATTTACCACCCAAGCTTCACATCCATATAAGAGTGTTGGTACTACTATACTTTCATACATTCCCTTCTTTGCCTCCATAGATAATGTTTTTTGACTCCACATATACCTCAACGCACCACTCACCTTTTTTCCCTCATCAATTCTATGATTAACCTCATCCTTCATAAATCCATCAATCAACACATTTACTAAAATTCTGTTTTATTTAGCTGCTATGACCTATAACTCATTTTTTTTTTCATCATGTTACATTGAGGATTACTCATTGCATACCTTTATTTGTGTCATTGTCTCAACTTGAACAAATTGTCGAGTCTCTAACACCAAATACTCGTGCCATCTCCAAGACACATGCACCACCCTTTAGCCTCTCAATTATTTTTTTTTTATATAGGCATATTTTACAATTTCTTTCTTGCTCCATCAGTGTCACCTACACTTCATTTGGATACCATAATAAATATCAAGACAAGATGGAGTGATGAAATGAAGGAAAAGCTGACCCAAGTAGGAGCTGTTTGTTTATATCCATTCACCTTCCCTCACATCATCTTATAAGACTAAAACACCTGACTACCCAGTGTGCAGTAATGGGTCTCCTGCCTGCTTGCCTTGGGGCTCCTCAATGGAAATGAAATCCCCTCCTGCATGCCTTAATGGAAATGGACATGCTTCAATCTGAAGTGAAAAACTAAAATTTAACTCGCACAACTAAAAAGGTATTCTAATAATCAATGGGGATGAGTGTTCAGTTTCAAAAGCAAAATGACTTACTGAAGTGTTAACAGAATATTCTAGGGTTGAAATGGCTTTTATTATATGCATCTCAGGTTAATGTGAAATCATAAAACTACACTCAAAATGAAATGCTTAAGATTTACTTTATACTCTAGCCTTCCTATACAAGAAATTCATGTATTTATTTGAATGTAATGAATTACTTTGTTATGATATATTCTTTCTCTCAGATGCCTGATGAATTTTTAAGCCAGATTAACATTAAAATTCTTTAAATATACTCTTAATATACATTTTCTTAATTTGTGAATTCACTCACTCCCATAAAATCAGCCTCTTATTAAACACAATTACAATACTAGTAGTAAGCCACCAAATTACGTAATCTTCCTAAGTGGACATTTATTAACACACACAACACCATTTACTGGATTATTTATATATTTATATAGCATTATAACTTGTGTGATTTAATTACATATGTACAAAACCTTATAATGCCAATAGGCATCTAAACATCTTGGCAACAGTGTGATACTACTATACGATATTGCAGTGGGTGGAATATTAAAATAATGAATCTTCAGGAATGAAATACAAAATAATAGCCCAATCCTTTCGGTATTGGCAAGATAAAACAAACATTAGGAAATCAACAAAGCATGCATATAGGGTAGGTATGTAGCCTTATTGAAAAGGCAATTAACAGAGAAGCCCAGTCCTGGGCCAAGCTGCAATAGTAGGAAAACTCTTGCAACAGGTCACAGGTATATACGAGGTATTTCAACAGTGAATAGATTAGCAGCATTTAAGTTCTTTGCACTTTTATCCAGATGGGATCTATGCTACTGACTGCTAGTCAAGAGCAACTATACTAACACTATTTTCTTATCCTGATCTTGGCCCCAGTAACATTTTCTGTTTTAAGAAAAGCATAAAGAAAATCACACTGAAATATAAAATGTTAAAATTAATCTTCCAACATAATGCATCTATGAAGCTAAATCCATCAATAATCCAAATGTATTAGTGTTAAAGTATTTGCTACAACAAATTGCAAAAAGATTTTAACCCTTTAACTGTCATGGTGTTGATCAGTGTATCTCTTCTAGCACTCCGAATATTAAAAATAAAAAAAAAAAAAGGTTAATTTTCTGTACTACACAGATATAAAGCCATGAAGTTGACATTGGATGCTCTTGTGATGGCAATGTGGAGTCCTGCCGCTTGCAGAAATGTCACAGATATACCTTGTTTTCTCATTTTTTTTAATTTATGTAGTTTTTATGTTCTGATAATTACAATTTATAGATCTTGTGATTTCGTAGCCAATCGTTTTTCTGACACAAACACATTTACAATGACAGATGAACATATCCACCTGCCCCAGTCACATATTATTGTCTAGAAATACATGCAAATTATTTATAGGTCCCAGTTGTGTTTAGTAGTGCTGAAGTACATGAAACTCCTTGAAAGCACAGTGTCAGACAGGGTGGCACTCTACATTGCTGATGGTGCACTGCACCAGCAGCATTGCCCTCAGTGAACCTTGTTACGTATATGTTTTCTATTTGGTCTCGCTGTTCCACAGTGAGACCCCAGATATACCACTGTACATCTGGGGTCTAATGAACTTGGCAAAGAATGGATGCATTTCGGCCATATAAATTTTTATACCAAAGCAATTATGTTTTGCTTGGTATACACTGCTTAAACGGCAGGCATCCTTTGAACAGAACCAAGGACTTGGATGTAGTAATCTGTGGACCAGTACTGTGCTTGTAGATATGAGGCATAAGCATGACTGTGGCAAGGAATATACACATTTTGACCACAGTTGTATCTTTCCACTTGTGCAACTGTGACGATTCTGCAACATGTGTAACACCTGTTTGACTAGCTGACAATCAGGTTAATGAGCAGCTCTCTCTGAGTGAGAGGGAAACAGACAGAGCCATCCAGCCAGCCAAACATGTATCACACATAGAATTCTCTCTCTCTCTCTCTACTAACTCAGGGGACTCATTGGCAGGATGCCACTACCAGTGGTTCAAAACTGAGATGAAGTAGCACATAGGTTATCGTCAAAATTTAAATGAAGTAGCACACGGGTTATTATCGAGGTTTTCGATATTTCCTTGACCACTTGTGGCCACATCCCTCTCAATATAACTTTTCTTGGGGGAAAAAAAAAAAAAAAAAAAAAAAAAAAAAAAGTTAATATGATATGACATTAGTGAATCCCTGGGGTTTGCCATACTCTTTGCTCATTTGAACTTGTGCTATGAGATCTCAGATTTTTGTAAACATGGTGCACACCAAGTGTGCAGACCCATTCTATAGTTCCTAAGCCTATTAGGCTTCTAGTGCCAAATTTGAATGCAGGAAAAATAGTGTACTGATCAACATCTGGAACACTAGCAGTAATGTGTAGATGAACAGTTTGACAGTTAAAAGGTTAAGGATACAAAATAATACAATGCCTCATGCAAAAATGCAAGTAACAACTGAATTCAAAACTCCATTTCTATAATTTGTAGTACACAATTCTGTATGAAAATCTGTCACCTGGGGACAATTTTCACAGTGCATTGTTGTGTAAACAAGTCTAAGTACAAAATTTACTTAAAAGAGTAAATTATAATAATGAAATATGCAACAAACAAGACAATGGCATCTTGTAAAATAATGGATCATAATTAACTTAAATAATGTAAGTCCTTCATTTATGCCATTCCTTTCCTGATTAGTTCACACAATGAATAAAAGTACTGTACTCTACACATCATCATCATCATCTAATTTATTAGATTTGTCCTGGACATCTTTAAGTTGTTTCTCATAAATCTTCTTAGAATCACAGAAACCCATTCTTGTTTTTCCAAAGCTGTTAGGGCCTGCAGAGGTGGGAGTGTCTCTGGGAATAAAGAGCAAATAAGACAACCATTAATCAAATTTCTTAGTGTACCTAAAACGTGCCCTAAAGGGAAAACGAAAGTACTGCAATATTAAACTGGTTTAACCCTTTGACTGTTTCGGCCATATATATACGTCTTACAAGCCAGTGTTTCGGACGTATATATACTCAGTAATTCTAGCGGCTTCAAATCAAGCAGGAGAAACCTAGTAGGCTCACATGTGAGAGAATGGGTCTGTGCGGTCAGTGTGCACTTCATAAAAGAAATCCTGCAGCACGCAGTGCATAAGGAGAAAAAAAAAAAAAAAAAAAACTCCAACCGTGTTTTTGGATTAAAATGCCGACTTTAAGTTGTATTTTCGTATAGTATTTATGGTTGTATTCTCGTTTTCTTGGTCTCATTTGATAAAATGGAAAACATATTACAGAAATAGAGACGATTTTGATTAGTTTCATGATTATAAGACGGGCCTGGAGACGTGACTAATGAACAGAGGATATGTTATTTTAGTGCCAAGAATGTCTGCGTTGTTTATTCTGGACCCTATTTTGAAATTGGCATCTTTTTTAATTTGATGAAATTGGCCAAACTGAAATTGGTAAATGGGTGGTTTCTTGTACTCAATTGATAGAAAAAATGGAGTTCTAAAGAAATAGCTATGAGTTTAGTCAACCGGAACTATGGAACTGGCCGAAAATAGGGCTCAAAGTCGGCGAAATCGCCGATATGTGTGCGTATCACCGAGATCGCTAACTTTGCGAGAGCGTAATTCCATAAGTTTTTGATCAAATTTCGTACTTTTGGTGTTATTACCATTGGGAAAAGATTCTCTCATTTCACGAGAAAAAATAATTTTTTTTTTTCCAAAAATTCTGCGACATAGAATGACAGTTTCAGAAATGGGCTTACGACAGTCAAAGGGTTAACTGAATATAAAGCAGGAGACGCGTCATAAAGCGACAGAAAATATTTAATGATCAAATATCTCTTGTAGGGTAGACAATCGCCTAAGTTAACTTGTGGTAACAAGTTTTCCACATCTCTTCCTAATCATGGATATAATAATATTATTGTCTTATGAGAAACACATGGCAGCCTGTTAAATATTTTGCACATTCAACACACTTACTGTCTTTCCCTTGCTGTCTTATGAAATTAAAGATGGTGTATTTAACTACAGTAGACCCTCAATTAAGAAGTGATTTTCTATGTCATTTTTGCTATGTGATGGTTGAACTGTGGCAGCTTTTTGATTGTGATGCTGTGATATTCATTTATGACTTGGGGGGGCTGTCCTTGACACCAGAGCACTTTGTTCGTTCGTCATAAAATGTATTTAGATAAACGTAAAGAGGTTTTTGTTGCATTTATGTATTTTGAAAAGGCATATGATAGGGTGGACAGGGAAAAAATGTGGCAAATGATGCAAGTGTATGGAAAAGGTGGTAGGTTACTGAAAGCAGTTAAGAGTTTTTATGAGGATAGTGAAGCTGAAGTTAGAGTATGTAGGAGAGAGGGAGGCTATTTCCCAGTAAAAGTAGGCCTTAGACAGGGATGTGTGATGTCACCATGGCTGTTCAATATATTTATAGATGGGGTTGTAAGAGAAGTGAATGCTCAGGTGTTGGCAAGAGGTGTGGGATTAAGAGATAGAGAATCTAACACAAAGTGAGAGTTGTCACATCTGCTTATTGCTGATGCTGCTGCTTTTGGGAGATTCTGAAGAGAAGGTGTAGAGGTTGGGAGAATATGTAAAAAAATGAAACACAGTGAACATAGGAAAGAGCAAGGTGATGAGGATAACAAAAAATTTAGGCAATGAAAGACCGGATATCAATCAGATTAGAGTATGCAGGGGGGGGGGGGATGGAGGAAGTGAATGTATTCAGATATTTGGGAGTGGACGTGTCAACAGATGGGTCCATGAAAGGCGAGTTGAACCATGGAATTGATGAAGGGAAAATGGTGAGTGGAGAAGTGAGGAGTCTGTGGAGACTAAGAAGGTTATCCTGGAAGCAAGAGAGAAATATATGAGAGTATAGTGGTACCAATACAGTGGAACCTCAAAAATCGAACGTATCACATATTGAACGTTTCGAAAATACAGTGGACCCCGCATAACGATCACCTCCGAATGCGACCAATTATGTAAGTGTATTTATGTAAGTGCGTTTGTACGTGTATGTTTGGGGGTCTGAAATGGACTAATCTACTTCACAATATTCCTTATGGGAACAAATTCGGTCAGTACTGGCACCTGAACGTACTTCTGGATTGAAAAAATATCGTTAACCGGGGGTCCACTGTAGGTCCATTTTTTTGGACAAACTGTGTCCCTATTATTGAACGCGCCCCTATTTTCAGACTGCTGGGTACGGGACCTGTCTGCCGCCCGCTCTGTCCATGTCCCCGCGCAGGCGCCGTGAGCAGTCTAGCTTTGTTTATGCTTGAGCGAATAACCTGCACTCTCATTCATGCATTTTACGATTATTTCATTGTGTTTAGTGCTTGTGGGACTGTGAAATAAGCTGCCATGGGCCCAAAGAAACTTGTTAGTGGTACCCCTGTGGTAAAGAAAGTGAGAAACACCATAGATGTGAAGAAGGAAATAATACAGAAGTATGAGAGTGGTATGAGACTTGTTGAGCTTGCCAGGATGTATGGGAAAAACAAGTCGACCATCGGTTCTATCCTGTCAAAGAAAGAACAAATCAAAGAAGCTGATGTTGTGAAAGGTGTTAATATAGGGAGTGGATGAGGTGCCTTCTTCAAAGATTAAGGAGATTTGTGCCAAGTGGAATGATGTCCAAATGTTTGTGCAGAAGTATCACCCTGAGCAAGCTGAAACAAGCCATCTTTGTAACAGTTTCAGTGACAGAACCATGTCCCATTTTAGGGAAATGTTAAAGAGGAGCCAGAAACAGAGGACTGTGGACAGTTTTTTTTTGTGAGACAGGGGTCCAGTGACTCTCAAGCTGGTCCTAATGGCATTAAAAGACAGAGAAGGGAAGTAACCCCAGAGAGGGCTTTACCTGAAGTCCTCATGGAGGGGGATTCTCCTTTCAAACACTAACCCCAACTCCCTCTCTCCTCCTTCCTATCTTCCAGATGCCATCACCAATCTTCAATAAAGGTAAGTAAAAATGTTATTTTATATGTATTACTATACATAATTAAAAACTATAGTATTTGTTGTATGTAAAACTGTAATTAATCTCTATAAAATGTATTTTTTGTGTGAATATTTTTGGGTTTCTGGAACGGATTAATTTTATTTCCATTATTTCTTATGGGAAATATTGCTTCGAATTTCAGACTTTTCGAATTTAGAACTAGCTCCTGGAACGGATTAAGTTCGATTTTTGAGGTTCCACTGTACTTTTATATGGGTGTGAAGCATGGGTGGTGAATATTACAAAGAGAAGGCTGGAGGCAGTGGAGATGTTGTGCCTGAAGGCAATGTGTGGTGTGAATATTATGCAGAGAATCCATAGCTTGGAGATTAGAATGAGGTGTGGGTTTCTAAAAGTATTATCCAGAGGGCTAACCAAGAGTTAAGTTGTTTCGGACATTTATAGAGGATGGAATGAAACAGAATAACTTGGGTGTATAAATCTGTAGTGGAAGGAAGGCAGTGTAGGGGTCGTCCTAGAAAAGGGAGGGATGAGGTAAAGGTTTTGTGTGCAAGGGGCTTAGACTTACAGCAAGTGTGCATGAGCATGTTGGATAGGAGTGGAGGCAAATGATTTTTATGACTTAACGTGCTGTTGGAGTTTGAGGAAAGTATTATTTATGAAGGGATTCAGGAAAACTGGTTAGCCAGGCTTGAAATCTGGATGTGGGAAATACAGTGCCTGCACTCTAAAGGAGGGGTGGAGATACGCTGCAGTTTTTAAACTGTAGTGTATGCATGCCTCTGGCCAGTGATGGAGCGAGTAGTGATGAAAATGTTTCTTCTTTCTCAGGTCACTTTGCCTTGCTGAAAAATGGCTGTTGTGTTAATAAAAAAATGATTAATATTACAGCAGTGAGATTGACGCAACGATCCTCCGGCTGTCGTAAACATTAATCCAACAATAATAACAAAACAGGCTGGTAGCCTAAGGAGTTTTCGTGATTTCAAAATATTTTCATATTGTATGGGGATAGCTTGCACTCATATTATGTTGGGTATTATACCTGGGCATATTTAATTAGTAAAAAATCTTAGTCTGGTAATATACTCATGTTTGCAGATGATTTTGGTCCATGTCTGTACAGATATTGATTTATGCCTGTACAGATATTGTACAGGGTCACATCAACCCTCCCCACACATTTCTATAAAAAGCAATTACAACTATAATGCAATGACTAGGAAACTTGCTTATTTTTAAGTCCTGATGAATTACAAAGCTTTGAAAACAATTTGGTTGGCTTTTTTGGGGGGTCTAATGAATGTAACCCTATTTCTTCATATGTTCTTCAGTTCATTTTAAATGATTTTTTCATTAGATGTATTTTTCAGGAACATAACTACTAGTCTAACAGACAGTCAACTGTAAATTAATTATACACAGCACTTCATCTGTGTTTCCTAATACTGTAATTCTTAATCCTATTAAATTCATTGGGCCGCAGGGGCGCTGATCCCTGAAATCCTCTCCAGGTATACATTAAAAGGCAAAAACATGGAGGGTGGGCATAATGTTTACAGGAGAAAGTTACATTAAGTACAGTAAATCAGTTTAAGAAGGATGTCACGTCTGCTTCTGAGGAGGGTAGACAGTGTGAGCATGTCAGTGGTGAAGACAGCTGAAAATTAAATTGACATCTCTCTGGTAAATGGAACAATTTATCAAAATATTTTGAAACATTAACATATCCAAATAATTCTCCCAAAGTGAGTGTAGATTGAGGTATAAACCAGCAGGTGAATGTAGCCTGAGGTATGAACCAGCAGGTGAGTGTAGCCTGAGGTATGAGCCAGCAGGTATGAGCCAGCAGGTAGGTGTAGCAA